GACTTCATACCTTTCAGATCATCATCTTGAGGCTCAGGTGAATCCATGTTGTATGTTATCACTGCTTCTTAACTCATGTGTTTCTTCCTCATTTTACTCTCTCCCCCACCTTATCCTGCTTACAGGTCTGAAAGTACAAACAATCAATTATATTACAATTATATTACCTCAACTTAGGGTATATTGTCCAGATTGTCATTTTACTAGAGTATACATGTATATATACCACTAAATACAGTAATTGTACCAAGTTTGTAGATATAACACCTTAACAGCAGGTGCTGGCAATGGCTCCCCACTAGTTCACTGTGATGTCTTATCTCCAGAAGTCCCCCAGGCAATGAGAGAGTGGCACCACCATCTAGAACTCTGTCACATACCTATTGTTACTCTTGGTATGCTGCCATTAATATGTGTCATTTATGTTTCCTGCTTTCAAGGACTGCCAGCAGCCACTGTACAACCAAAGTGTTTTATAATTCTGTGCAGGTTGAAGGTATATATGACAAATGCTACTGTGGCATGACACAGAATACACAATTATCAACCTAGTATTATATACATAATACAAGAGTTTTATACCTAGAACTGAAGATATATGTATCATCACCCTTGAATTCAGTATCACAGTTCATACACGTTTATGAACGATATTCTAAAGGAATTAATTTAATAATTGTCTAGACTAATTTTAGTGAATCTCGTCAGTGTCTGGTTATTATGAGGTATAAATGTGCTATATGTCGCACCTTATTGATTAGAACTGTAGAACAATGGCAGCAGTGATTAGTCACTGCTCATAAAAAATGTATGGTTTATCACCACAACAGACCAGCCCCATGCCAGGGGGGGGGGCGAGGGGGGAGGTGTGAAATATACTAACTGACCATTTCAATGTACACCAAATGACCCTAGTGGTCACATAATATTGATAGATGATAATTCCAATACATTATGTGAAGTCCTATGCTTCCACGCCTGGTCTACAACTTGGAAAGTTCATTTTAAAATTCCTGCAAAGGTTTCAGAACGAACACTTGAAGTATATTTGCTGAAATTGGACTGGGGTTAAAATTTTTACAATAACCCAAAATTGGTAGTTTGTCCATATATAAAATGAATTATCTATTGTAAACATTTATAAATAGCTATAAAAATACTGGTTTACCACACAAAATGTCAGCTGGTAACACTTGTGTAACCTTATGGAAGAGTGCAAACTATTTGACTGATAGGAGAGTTGAGACTATAACTAAATGCAGTTGAGAATTCACTGAATATTGTTGCTAACACAAACAAACCCTCCCAGGTCAAGTGAAACCATGTATTCTAGGGATGAAAGTCTACAATCTACATCTACATGGACACAGCTCTGTAACTTACCAGGCAAGATGTAAAGATGAGAGGATTTTTCTTCAAAACTTTTAACAAAAGCTGCTTTGGCAAATAACCTTTTAAAAATTTAAATTTCACTGTATTTGCACAACATATTAGCTTATGATAATTTATTATTTATCCTTAAGTTAAGGGATATAAATACTATTAAAGATACAATTTCCCAAACAAATTTCTGTCACGCAGAAACCAAAATGACCTAAAACCTATACATGTACTAGTATAACCAAAATTTACATTAAACACAGCTTTCTGAAAAGTGGATGAAAATATAGCTCTAAGCTAGCTCTATCAGTATGGAGTGTGTAGAGAATTAAATACAAGCATTACAATTACTGACGGCTCAGTTCTACATCACAGATTTTGGAAACCTTTCATCCATTATTCACCAGCAACAATATCATGTTCTTTCCTGTACTGCAGTTATCACTCTGCTGAACTGTGACTTCTACTTCACAACACAAAACATTATCTCCTGAACTTGATATACCTACCAAATGACATTTATATCTATGAACTGTTCCCTTACTCATTTGTTGAACTTGACATTCTAAATCTTTCCAAACAATAAATTCAGATCAAACATTTCAACTTTCATCTACCTACCAGTACAATATAAATATGAACACTTCATTCTACATTTACTCATGAAATTAATACCACTCTCTGATAATAAACTCTGACCGAATAACTGAAAACCTTTTACCTGCATAACGCATACAAAATTCTTTGCACAAAGTGTCAGTAGCCCCTCTTTTCAGACTGTGAAGTGAAGCAGTAAGAATTAGGTTTAGCTGTTGTCCTATGGCTTATGACTGCAGCCACTTACTGTCAACATGGGAGAAACTACTGAATTTACCGCTGCTCCAGGCTTGTTGACTCAAACAGGTAATGGGACGTTAATGAATAAAATAAACAAAGAAAATGTCCGTTAATATCTGCAAGTTACCTGAATTTTAGCGAACATTCCAGCTACCTGAACTAAGCATCCCAGGGAATTAGTACATTACTTGGTTGGAGGTTTTTTAGAAGGCAGAATATGTCTTCAAGAAAATCTTGCTGACAAAATGACTTATGGCAATTATGTAATTTATGTATTTAGTTATTATAAACTAAGTGTCAGAGGTATTTAAAATATAATGCAATTTTCTTCCTCCTTTGCAAGAATAACAAGTATAGTACATCGCTGGATGAAAACATTCTTTTATTTCCTAAAATTTATTTTTTGTTTTTTCAAGAAGTCCTATTATTCTGGCAAGTAGATAATGAGCTACAGTGTCTCCTTAATTGTAAACTTCCAATGCTGTACAGAGCTGGAAATCCCCTTCACATCAAGGTCCCTTCTTGACACTCTCTCCACTGAAACAATTTAGGAGAAACTTAAATCAGATTTTCTCTTGGAGTAATTCCATTATAGCAGCCAGCAAATTCTGTTATAAAACCAAGGCAGGTGATGTTGGGAATGTTTATTAAGTTAAACAAGAGCAATAAACACCCTAGTTTTGTCGCAGCTCGGCTCTCTATACACCCTAAACTGTTCACCCTGAGTTTCACAGCCTAGATTTCAGTCTACCTCTAGAATACAGGCAAACTTTCCTATTATGCCTCCTCTGTAGCCTATTACACCAGTTACTCCAGCCAATTCAAACTATATGTTCAAGGTTAATGCAGTCACCAACAAAATCACATTTACCGTGAATTTCATGAGTTTTTACACAGACCTTTGACTAGTTCATATCTCAAGTGTTCAATACAGCTTGCTGGCAGGTTTTAGCTGGGACTGGCACTGGCACACAGAATGAGGGAGACAGAAAACCAGGCAAACTAGGGGTCAAGTTAGAGCCACCAGCTAATCTCTTCTTTACAAGGTTTATGCAACCTCCCATCCCCAAGTTGTGAAGACAATTTCTAAGCTAAATACCAAATATACCTATGCAAATAGCCAGGGTATACACTGGAGAGGTGCAACAGGGAGGGCAAGGCAGTAACATGGAGGGCAGGTGAGTGTTAGAATATTTAATGTACATGTTCTATATAGTACCACCAGCTTTGGTCTGAGGAATATAGTCCTGAACTTAGGTCTTCACGCATGTCTTGCAAAGGTGAATTTCCTTAGCTTCCTTAGAACTAGGATACCATTATTTTTTGCTGTTCTTCTTTGACTGCAAACACATGGTGTCTGCACCATTACTCTGCATTACTTTGACTGCACTGCACTTTCTATGTGATCCAGTATGTTGTTCAATTTATAAGAAGAGGGGAGTTTATTTACTGAAACATTACTTTTTTCTTGTCAGGATGAACAACTTATTTTTTTCATTGATGTATATTGTTATTCTTTTCTAAGAAATAAAAATTATTTCAAGTTTTTCATAAATTTTCTACAATTTAGCATTAAAATATGATAGCCGGCTTCAATTACCACTCTGCCAAGGAGGTTATGTTTTCACCCCTGTTTATCTGTTTGTCATCATTATTCATAAGGTAGCAACTCTTTTCGCTTCAGCATTTAAAACACAATTTCTACTAAAGCTCTGAGCCACCCCAGACTCTCTCTGGCAAATGTTTTTAATCTGGTCAATAACCTCGATCTTTTACTGCAATTACATCAAATCACTGCCAAATTGTTGAAACACCATTGTCTTTTTTAAAATGATATTCACACATTTTATATTTTTCTTTATTAATTATTATTATTAAAATTCTATAATCATTATTATATTTTTCTGCCAAATAAATGTCTAAAAATAATAAACAAAAGGTACAAGTATTATCATTTAGTAGAACTTGAAAATTGAAATATATTGTTGAGAATAATCCATATCCAATTTTAATCAGGTATTTAGGATTCTCCATAAATTTTTTACATGCTATACATTTTGCATTGTTTTAAGTGTTTTTGAATTCATGATAAATTGTTTTTTAAGAGTTTCATTTGATGTACCAGAAAATTTTGCATTCTGTTTTTCCCATTCAAAACAGGGGCGGATCCAAAGATATTTTCTGACAGTCTTTCAAATTATCTTTGTTGATCCATCCTCCATTTTTGACCGTCTTCTGACAGAAAACATTAGATGCCTGACAATGTAAACTTGAAAATCTGACCGTCTTCCGGAAGACCCAGAAGACAGCCTAAATCCGCCCCTGCAAAAGTAGAAAACTGCCCCCCTTCAATATACATATCACACTGATCCAAAAGAAGACAAGATGTTCAAATTTGTAAGTGGTCCTTTGGGGAATATACCACAATCTGTTGTTTTCTCAAGGGAAATTTATTTCCACAATGAAACATCACTTATGACATATAATGGCTGCAATTATCAATTTAAATCAATTCAGCCATAAAAAAAATAAATAAATAAAAACAATGACAACTGATATGACGAGCTAAATCATTTCTACCGTGTAGGGATTTCATGACACTATATATATAAGAACCTCATCCTGTGACAAACGCCAAGCTCAGCTGTTAAACTACAACGTAGCACTGTGTGTACGTTGTTCTGGAGCAGCAGTAGTCGGTTTTCTATCAACCTGTTTTACAGATCAAATTTCACCAAAAATATGCCCAGAGTAAATCTAACATCATATTCACGTTTAAATAAAATACAAACCTTGATATAATTCAGTTCCTTGTTTTTTCCCGTTACTTCAATTGCAGAATAATCCAATTGCCTTTAAAAAGTTTGTTTGACATAAAACTCAACGAACATGTCTCATTGTTTGGGTAGTAGAATGAAATATCGCGCTGCTCGAGTCTCGCGAGAAGAATCTGAAGACGCGAGGTGGCACTACTTAACAAGATAATGTATGATGATTGCGGTTAATATAAACAAGAAGTTGACAAATTTTCCCCAAAAATCCTTCAAATATACATTCATAATTATACAAAAACAAAATCAGTATTCTAATGGCAGATATTTGAAACATTGTCTTGGTCATTAGACTATCTTGCAAATATGGCTACTCCTGCACGAAACAAAGGTTCCAGGTATATATGTCTTTAATGTTCGTTTTTCGCTGTAGTCATGACAAGTGATTGGTAAAAGTATGAGTTTTTCACATTATACCATAAGCATGATCAGTTGGGTTTTTCAATTGTTTTTATTTTGATTATTTTTAAAGGGAAACACTGACTACCCAATGCCACTTATCATATCTCATGAATAAAAGTATCTTTTATCCAATTATGAGCTATTTCTGAGTCAATTTGCTATATCATTATATTGTTAGTAGTATGCATTTTAGGGGTGTTGTTTGTTGTTTATGTTGTCTAATTTGATAACTGAAACAGCCGTTCAGTGTCATTTCACATTTAAGCCATACGCCTCTGTAAAGACTTGTAAAAGGAAGCAAGAATGTTAAAGCAGTAAAGAGAGTCATATGTTGCAATGCTGCATGTAAATTATAAATGTGTGGTATACAGCATTGCAACCTGCACATCAATGCCACATGCGCCTCACATGGTTTTGTTGTATTTCAGTTTGCCTGTGGTTCCGTTGTCCCCAGAGCAGTTGTACAAGGAGGCCATAGAAAATGCTGCCAGTTACAACAGCAGATTGTATTTGGAAAGTCAGATGCGACTGCCATATGTTGACTCCAATACTGCCGTGGCACAAAGACATAGTAATCTATGGGTCAGTTACAGACAGAGAATGCCAGGTAGGCTGCCTGTGTAGTAATCTATNTTTATTGTTAAATCAGTATTACCAAGGTCACAGACATAGAGACTGGAGAAGCAGGTGGGTTTTATTGTTAAATCAGTATTACCAAGGTCACAGACATAGAGACTGGAGAAGCAGGTGGGTTTTATTGTTAAATCAGTATTACCAAGGTCACAGACATAGAGACTGGAGAAGCAGGTGGGTTTTATTGTTAAATCAGTATTACCAAGGTCACAGACATAGAGACTGGAGAAGCAGGTGGGTTTTATTGTTAAATCAGTATTACCAAGGTCACAGACATAGAGACTGGAGAAGCAGGTGGGTTTTATTGTTAAATCAGTATTACCAAGGTCACAGACATAGAGACTGGAGAAGCAGGTGGGTTTTATTGTTAAATCAGTATTACCAAGGTCACAGACATAGAGACTGGAGAAGCAGGTGGGTTTTATTGTTAAATCAGTATTACCAAGGTCACAGACATAGAGACTGGAGAAGCAGGTGGGTTTTATTGTTAAATCAGTATTACCAAGGTCACAGACATAGAGACTGGAGAAGCAGGTGGGTTTTATTGTTAAATCAGTATTACCAAGGTCACAGACATAGAGACTGGAGAAGCAGGTGGGTTTTATTGTTAAATCAGTATTACCAAGGTCACAGACATAGAGACTGGAGAAGCAGGTGGGTTTTATTGTTAAATCAGTATTACCAAGGTCACAGACTTAGAGACTGGAGAAGCAGGTGGGTTTTACAGTTAAAACAGATAAAGCTGTTATTAATATGAAAAACTTTAATCCCTGGCAAACTGTTTTCCTATGCCTTCAGTGGCTAATTGCATCTATGTCTTAGATGGTAAGGATTTCTAGCATGTATAATAATCATCATCAGTGTGTCAGGCCTGGTGCAGGCAGCAACAATCATGGTCCTCCAGTTAACTCTTTTTTCAGTCGATTGGATGAGCTCATTATTGTACACGTGTTGATTTGTTGCGATAATGATATGCATTTAGAGTCTAAAGTCCAATTATGTTCAGTGGACTTAACAATAGAAAATATAGAAAACAAAAGGCTAGAAAGAATAGAAAATAAAACGCTAGTAAAAGAAAAGGAAAGATTGATTAAAAAGCATAAATTTAAATAAAGTAGAATTAATGATGAATGATATGTCCTCTCTGACTGTTACTTATAATTTATTATAATTATTATATTTGCCAGATATGCACCAGATCAGTACTATAGAGAACCCAGCAGCCAGGAAAGATGAAGATGAGAACTCTAGCTCCAATGTGCATACAGCCAGCTCTGACTTTGTGTCTACAGACATTGCCCTGAAGGAGACATGGTATGATGACTATGAGGAGATCAGTGAACCACCAGATGCTGGAGAGATTGACAACCAATCTGATTATAGTGACTATGAAGAGACCTATGTGAAAAAGAAGAAGAAAAAGGTTTTTAATGCTTTTGATTTTGTTGTTATAGGAAGTAAAGGAATCTGATTAATTCAGCAAATAAAATGAGTTTGACAAATGTCGTATTTGTGACTCTAGGACAGTTTCCTCCCAGGCAATCTCTTCCTCCCTCTCCCCAGTAATTGTCCTGCTACCATATTTGTATCCAGTCTCTCAGATTTCTTTGAACTATCTAAAATGAGAAAGGAATAACTCTTTTATTAGGTATGATGAAATATCTTGTACTTGCTTATTTTTATTCTAACAGAAATTTTGGCAGGTTTTCTGTTTAATTTGGGATGTATTTTCTGAGTACACTACAACTTGTTTAGTATTATATCTGCTAGCAATCAGTTTGACAGAGGCGGCGGGGTTGTCTTTTTAGTGTCTTCCTTTCCATAATTACAATATAAGTGGCTGGCATAACACAACACCGCTCTCATATAAGCAACTAGCATGGTTTGAAATTGGTTTCCTATGGTGATTTAACTGTACTGGGTGGGCCAACAAGATGGTACTTAGAGACAGGTTTTAGTCAGTTCTGTTTATCCAGTACTATAACTGATCTAAACTCCTTGGTTTTGTTTACTTGCAGAAAGGAGGGCCTGGTAGAGGGCGTGGCAGAAAACCTCACGCTGAGACCATGAAGGATGATGACGTTGAAAAGCCATATTCTTGCGACAGTAAGCAAGCTTTGCCTTTTATGTCCTGCAGTATACTAGTTGTTGTCATATGCATTGAGTGTCTTGTTTTTTTTTAATCTTCTGTATAGATTTTAGCTTCTCCTTTTTGATTTAACCATTTGAATTTATTTAGATATTGAAAATTTACATTCTAATTTCTGGTAATTTGTTCAGATCACCATGTGCATGACATTTGAATGTTGTTTAGAAGCTATACATTTGGACCAGCCAGAGCTTGGATTTTGAAAGAGCAAATTCTTAATTTTGCACATTGTATGGTTTTTAGTGATTAGTGTATATTAAAACGAGAAGGTAATAAATAAAAACATTTTTGATGTAATATTTTTTCAACTTTTGTGCAGAAGGGGTGAGAAACAGGTAGAAAACATTGTTGTCAGTAAAACTATATAAAGGTGTCAAGTTAACTGTCATGTCACGAAATTTAAAAAACCTTGGCATGTCAACAAGTCATTAAAAAGAAAAGTGGTGGGGAGACATTATTTTTTGATAACAGTCCATAATCAATTATTTTTATACCTACACAAGCCTCCTGTGAATTTTCAGTGTGTTCAGCGCGTTACAAGACGCGGCCTGGACTGACCTATCACCTGACTCACTTCCATAACAGCAGTTTGGAGGACGAACACACACAGTCGCCCAAGAGCTCGTCATTCAATGATGAGGGTACAGAGACTGCTCGTTAGTCCTATATCACTTTATATACTCCACTGCAGTGCTTTGGATATTATGCCTTCTTTTCTGCGCTTTCTTAATGCTTTGATCATGTGCTTTTTACATGCATGCCTTGCTTCAGAAGTTAATTGCATATGTGCATGTGAACGGGGNCTTTTTCTTTCTGTTGATTTGTCTCTATGCATTGCACTGTAGACTTGTGCATCTTTTTTGAGGGACCATCTAAAAAATCACATGGTTTCTGTACATTAATGTTGGATAGTCACTGAGATCCAGCCTTTGGATGTCATTGCCTTTGGGGGTGGGGGTGGGGGTGTTAATGTCCTATAGCTAGCCATAACAGCCTATATTTTATCAAGAGAGGTTATATCAGTTAAAACTCCACATAAAAGATTCCACAATATGATAGTAACAGCGAGTTGCCATGCCACTCTAACTCATTCTACTATTTCTCAAGGTTTTTCTCTTTCTAACTGCAGTTTGTCTAATGCAGGTTAAACTGTGGATGTATATGTCTCTCCTTAAAGAATGCTATGTTGGTTCCTAACATGGAAAATACAATTTGTAAAAAAAATCACAGTTTCAGTCCGTCTGTTTTTTATTCTGTGGTGTATTTTCTCGATGAGAACTATCTTTAATGGCCATATATTAGCAAATGGTGTAGCTGAATTGCTTGAAATAGAATGAGTTGGTCTGGGCTATAATGTTATGATTGATTTTATTTTCAGTGGATTTTATTGTGCAGGGTGTTTGTATCAGGAATCGTCTTTTTCCAATAACTCTAATACTACACAGTTGTACATGGCTGTTATTTTAAAGAAATATTTTGCCAAGAGTTTTGTATCATGAATTTAAAATAACTCTCATTCTAAATTTGTACATGACTGATTTGACTGAAATATTTTACAAGTTTGGAGTTTTTTGCATGTTGGTATCTTTGGTGATCATTTTCTGACTGTCATGGCTTCATGCATTTGACTGATTTCTCACAAACTGAATACTTACCACTGTTTAAAAGGACCTGGATTTGCAGAAACCATGTGAGTTCATTAGATGGCTGCTAAGTGACAGTTTTACAGTAGTAAGTGCAGTCAGGTCTTTTCCATTGTCAACATCATTTCAGTCCCGTCATCTCTTGTTTACACACTTTCTTGTCTATGTCCATTTTTTATTCATGATTATAGTTGTTATTGTCTTGTGTCATCACTAAAATGTACATTTCTTGCATGTTAGGAATGTTAGTAAAAAATGAGGTTAAGGTGCAGCAATGATTCAAAACACTTCCATATTTTCTTGTCTTTATTATTATGTACAAACATTTTTTTATGATTTTGACATTGGGCACCCTAAACTTCCACAGTGTAACATAAAAGGCACATACACTTCTATTTTAATTTCTTATATAGGACATGGTACAGACTATATGTATTTGTTCAGTAATTGTAATATTTTCACTTCTTTGCAATATCATGGGCTTCTTACAGATTTGGAAAACTTTGGCCAACTGATGAAAGTTATAACAGGAACTTATGGATTATACCTTTTTTATTCTAATGCAATGTATAACCTTAATATACACAACTAAACAGCTGCATAACATAGGGTTTTGCTTGTAGAGGTATAACTTACAAGTTAGACTGTGCTATACAATATTGTTTATCTGCTTCTTATCATGTTTGTTTTCATTCAGAAAGCTTGTCCCATTTACATAAAACTGACCTTTGTTGCTTTACAATATTTGCTTGATTTTTGCCCATTTTTATGCCCATAACAATGTGAAGCATGAAGTATTTTTATACAACTGAATTGATAGCATCTTTCAATAATTCAGTGATGTCAGTTTGAAGGTAATAAACTAGTAGAAATTAATTTTTAAACAAGTGTACTGGAAAGGTAAGCTTAACAAACCACATGTTATATTTTCATAGATATTTGGTGTTGGATATTTGATCCTAGAAATGAAACGCTTGAAAAGCTATTGAGATGGTTTATTTTTGTTTTACTCAAGTTTTTGTGACCTGGTTTTCTTCCAGCTGGAACTAGCACTGCCCCGTCAGGTACAAAATCTGGCCGCCACAAGAACTCCCCAAACAACTACTGTGACTTCTGTCTGGGCGATGAAACGTTCAACAAGAAAACCAAGGTGTCGGAGGAGCTGGTATCGTGTGCCGACTGTGGCAGATCAGGTAAGAAGACTGGTCTAGGGACATGTCTTATATAATACATATAGGAGCGTTAATATATCAGGGTGTAGCCGAGATATAATAAACCCCTGTATGTGTGTAAGCAAAAAAACAAGTGAAATTATCCTATTGTTTATAGTGCCAGCTGTGAGATGAGCAAGGATGAGATTTTTTCCCACTAATGGCAGATCTCTGACTTTTTGGGAGCCAAAAATATCATTGGCCTAAGTGGCCCCTGAACCCTATGCCATATTTTCTGGCTTTTTCACCAAATGGCAGTCTCATCCCCCCAAAAAGTTATGTACTTCCTTCTTTAGAAAGGAAAAACATTAGTTGCGTTATTAGTGCCAAATTAAAAATTGAAATAATCAAATGTACATGTAATTCACATTTTAGTTTTATTGTGGTCTTAAGACCAACTCGTTTTATGCTTTAGCTTTCTTTCATACATTACTTTAAGGGATTTGAGAAAAAAGTCTTCTTCGACAAAAGCTAAGATGATCAATTTTGATTGTTCAATCTTTCAGGCCACCCGACCTGTCTTCAGTTTACAGAAAATATGATAGTGTCAGTCAAGAAGTATCCCTGGCAGTGTATAGAATGCAAGTCCTGTGGTTTATGTGGCACGTCTGATAATGATGTAAGTGTTTGTGCTTGAGACACAAAGTTTTAAAGCACTGAACAATAACTTGAAAATAAGACTTAATGCTTAGACTCCCCAGATTTTATAATGGCTTGAATGGTGTAAGTAGTAGTGTAGTAGTGGTGTAGGACTTCTTTATTCATCTGTTTTGGTATCTGTCCTGTTGCTGTCCTGTCCCACTTGTTTCAATATTGAAATTGAATTTAATATTTGTTCTGAGTGAGGAAACTTTTGCTTTGTTTCAAAGTTTAAATGCTCATGTTTTTATTTGATCATTACTTTCTTTTTCTTATGTTACTTATTCATAGTATATCTCATTTGTTAATTATTCCAGGATCAACTCCTGTTTTGTGATGACTGTGACAGAGGCTATCACATGTACTGCCTATCACCCCCTCTATCTGAACCTCCAGAGGGTAAGCAACATTGCCAAAACTTATGTACTTTTAAAAATGACATGAATTCTTTTCCATGGTAGTGTAATGCCAGTATGAAAGGCTTATCATGAGACATTTTAGTGCAGTTTGTAAAATTGCGTTAGAATTGTCAGAATATACTTGCATGAAATCTTAAGATTGTACTTTAAAAATTACTTGGATGACAAATAGCACACAAATAGTCCATTCAGCAAGTAAAATACATCAGTATACAATCATTACATACAATCAGCTTACAAACCTAAGTCTAACCATTTGACCATGACCTTGATTTGCTTCTAAAATACTTATGTTTAAAATAAATCACTGAGATAATGTTATGTGTTCATTCCAGGGAGCTGGAGTTGTCACCTGTGTATTGAAGAGTTTCATGCTGGTAAACCCCCTGCTTGTATGGCTGCACCACGATAGTCACAGAGAAAGAGGAACAGTTTAAATAGTGTCTTCTGTCAAGTGTCACTTTGAAACATCAAGAATCCATGTCTTGTGGACTGTTTTGTGCTAAGGAAGTGGTGCACTCTGAAAATATCACGTTCTGTGGTTTATTAGTCAACGTCAAATATTTCCATAGTGACTGGCTGGGAAGAAATGAATTTTATTTTCTATACTTTCTTACTTCATCAGAAGTAATTTAAAGCAATCATGGTGCTGTAGAAATCTGATAGAAATGAACTTGTCATCCCAGCAACCACAAACATGGCTTCCAGTCAGCTTTAGCAGGTGTGAGGTTGTTCCAATTTAGGGGGGTATTCTGACAGAACTCTGGAACCAGGGACCACAGCCTCATATCTGTGTCTGGGATAACATATGACAATTGCAAACTGAAGTCTTACTTCAGATTTACCAAAATTAATCATTAAAATGTACTGTATATATTATATACTAGACTTGTAATGTTGAGCAGTTAGTGAGTAGTAAGAACACACTGTGAATGTTTATATCTAAACATTTTAAGTCAAAGAAATCAAAATGAATGTTTATGTATTCATGTTACAGTCATTAGATACTCATTAAAATAAGCTTTTGTAACATTTAATCATGGGGTCAATTATCGGGTAACTTTTTTACTGCTTCATGTTTTGTATAAAAAGTCTGTAGTCATAGTTCTTTTAGTTCTCCACAGAATATGCCCAACTTATAAGTCATCCATCATTTTGTGCACCATATTTTGTAAATGTGTAATTGCTTTGAATTTGAACAAGTTCCAAAAACTTGAGAGAAAAATATAGTACACAAGATTATGAACAAAATTTCTAATAATGAGCAAACCCAAAGAATGGGAGATTTGTTGGTGTAACTGAATGTTTTAATTAACCAATTTACAATTTCTCTGAAAAATTTTCTAGTGAATATTGCTACGTTTATTTCTACATCCAAATTATTGTTCATAATCTCTCCTATTGGGCAAGAGCCTGGGTAAGTGTAGGAAGATACACACTGTATACTGTGTAGACAATAAAGCTTGTTGTCATTGTTAAGACTGAAAGGGTGGTTGTTATTGTAGCACAGGTCACTGTGACTTGTTCATGGATGTAGTTTACCCAGAGGAGATAGCTCTCCAGTTTCAGTGCTGCCATCTGGTGGTTGATGTCTAGCTAGACCATTGGTTAAACACAGATCACGTGTGGAACAATCCAGCTGCTCTCGACGTACTTGTAACCATTTGGTCAGACAACTGACTTGATTGCAACTGTGAGGACAATACAACAGTTTGGGTAATCATGTTTGTATTTGACCGTAAACAAATATCTCAATGTACACAATTCAATAAATTAAAAACTTTATCACAGATAATTTACAAGACATGCCACTTGAGCACTTAATATTCTTCTAAATAAATTATTCTTAGTCTCAATTTTCTCTCCAGTAATCACCTACTTTGTTTGCTGAAAAAAAAGGTACCAGCTAATGCCATTCTTCATTTTACTCTGTTAAGGAAAAATAACCAAAATTGAGTCCATCCCATGTACTATTTAAATGAGTTAAATTTTGGTCAGTGCACCATGTTTGAGTACATATCAAAACTCTTTGGTACACGCTGTCAGCATTCCTTGGTAATCAACACTTAGGCACTTGACTTATCTTTGTCCTTGTTCAATTCTCTTCATATATAAAACATTGTGCTATTAACAGATTAAACCCAGGATCACAAGATGACCCCATGATGTACAATTTGTAGATGTGATTGAGAATTGCAAACTCATTATTCCTGCTTCTGTTAATAATGCACTAGGTCTACAACAGTATTTCTGATCCTGTTGTGTAAACCTAGTCCAAATAATGGAATGACTGGCATTAAAGACTGACCATTTTGACACTGTTAATTCTGTAAACCAATACAGACTACAGTTGATACTAATGCTGTAAGTACTGGGACCCTGTTAACCCAGTAGGTTACAGTTTAGACTGGGGTGGCAGTAAGACCATGTTACTATAAGGATAATAAGCCCACGGCGCTCTATTGCTGGGAATGCATGCTATTTAGTTACAGTTTAGACTGGGGTGGCGTTAATTCCATGTCACTGTCAGGATAATAAGCCCACGGCGCCCTACTGCTAGGAATGCCTGCAATGGGTGCATGAACACAGTTGGAGGGATGACGGAATGCTTCCACGACCTCAAGAGCATGCTCTCTGGTTACAGCACACAGTTTGATGTACTGAAAAGATAAGAGAAGTTTTCTTTTAGCTTATGAACATTACTAATATTCAGCAAAAATTGCAAAAAATATTTGAATCAGTAATTTTTTTCTGACTAAAGTATATCTGAATAGTTGCAATCCATATCTTTAAAAACATTGTAATTTTCTCCTTGAAATCTTCTCAATATTTGAATACTGAATACTGTGGGGACCTGCTTCATGAAGTAAAACAGCTGGTCGTAAAACTCAACTTTGTAAAGCAGGAAAAAACTTATGTTGGCTTCAGCAACTTTTCCACTGCAGTAGGCTGCAAATATGAATCTAAGTTCAGACTATTACATGTAAACTAGACTTGTGTAGCTCACCTCTTGTCTCAGGTCTTTGGCCATGGCTGCTGTGATGTAGTTGTTCTCTAAGAACCAAGCTCTGTCTTCATACAGCAGGTGGACAGCATACAGCTTGCAAAACTGGAAATATAATATAATATAATATATACCCTGATACTGTTGTGTGGCATACAGCTTGCAAAACTGACAATATGCGTAATGTACACACTCTGACACTGTTATGTGGCAAACACAAAGATACTGTTGGAATTGTACCTCTCTAGCAGATCAGCTTTGTTTACATTAACTCTGGCTCTGGTTTATCTCAGAAATAAGTAGCAACAGACTTCTTAAATATAACTCTAATTTTGTATGATAAATAATCTGTATCAACATTTTCTCCTTCAAAGCTGATAGAAAGAGAAGAAAGATCCTTAGGCTTACCTTCATCATGATCTCTTTATCTCTCTCTTCAGGGCACCTGTCCACTGCTGCCATGTACTGCTCCAATGTAACTGGAATAGGCAATAACATGTCTACAAACCACATCTACGACATCGTTCACAACAAAAGCCAAATGTTCATTAATAAGAAATGGGAGGAGCATGGCCGCTGATGTCTCTAACAAAGAAGACACTTTAATGACTGCAACAAAATATCTGACGTTCAATGCTGCAAAGACCATTGATAAATCCATAGGAAAATTAATCCTTTTTCACATAATAAAATGTAGCAGAGATCAGTGTTATAAAGTCCTTACCTCTATGTATATAACACCAGGCCAGTGTAGTGGAGTGATGGAGACAGAGTTCAGTGTTATAAAGTTCTTACCTCTATGTATATAACACCAGGCCAGTGTAGTGGAGTGATGGAGACAGAGTTCAGTGTTATAAAGTTCTTACCTCTATGTATATAACACCAGGCCAGTGTAGTGGAGTGATGGAGACAGAGTTCAGTGTTATAAAGTTCTTACCTCTATGTATATAACACCAGGCCAGTGTAGTGGAGTGATGGAGACAGAGTTCAGTGTTATAAAGTTCTTACCTCTATGTATATAACACCAGGCCAGTGTAGTGGAGTGATGGAGACAGAGTTCAGTGTTATAAAGTTCTTACCTCTATGTATATAACACCAGGCCAGTGTAGTGGAGTGATGGAGACAGAGTTCAGTGTTATAAAGTTCTTACCTCTATGTATATAACACCAGGCCAGTGTAGTGGAGTGATGGAGACAGAGTTCAGTGTTATAAAGTTCTTACCTCTATGTATATAACACCAGGCCAGTGTAGTGGAGTGATGGAGACAGAGTTCAGTGTTATAAAGTTCTTACCTCTATGTATATAACACCAGGCCAGTGTAGTGGAGTGATGGAGACAGAGTTCAGTGTTATAAAGTTCTTACCTCTATGTATATAACACCAGGCCAGTGTAGTGGAGTGATGGAGACAGAGTTCAGTGTTATAAAATCCTTACCTTTATGTATATAGCACCAGGCCAGTGTAGTGGAGTGATGGAGACACTGATTCCAGGCAGTGAAAGGAGGTTCTAATTTTGTAGACACCTATTCAAATTAATATGAAAACTGGCAAAAATCAAACATTTACAGTAGGCATAATCAATCAGTCACATTATCGCATAAGAGAAAATCTGTAAACGAGGCAATCACAGTAATTCTACACCTGTCCAGTCAAAACAGTGTCAATATTTCATCATTAAATCATAAATGAGTGACTAATAAATTAAATGCTGATCTCATAAAGACTAGCATGTATTACCCAAAAGCCTGGTTACACAGCTTACCTTATCAAACAGTCTGGATGCCAGACTTCTCAGCAACTTGTCTTCTTTAAAAGCCAGTGCCTTCCTGATGAATGTCATACTGCTCACAGGGGCCAGAGTTACTGCAAACTTACTGAAAACAAAGAGTTTAAATGGTTGACCAAGTAAAAAATTGCTTTTACCATAAGAAAATAAACTGCATGATTAGATAGAAAAGTGAAACTGCCTCATAAAATTCACTCATGAATTTAACATTAAAATAAATGGTAAAAAAGCTTTCTAGGATTTTAACTCAGTCAGTCTTAGCTAAATGGTTATGAGATGACAACAGCTGTCACCAAGACATGCTACAGGCCAAGTTACCTTGTTTTCACAGAAGACATAAAGCTGCCTGTCATAGAAGACAACATGGCTGCCACCCTGCTACTTTCAAACTGTTTACTATACTGAGTGAGGAGCTCCTTGGCAACTTGCTGTAACAGTAAAACATGTCAAACTTTAACACCACAGAATCTTAAAAAAGTTTTGTTTATATCTGTACACAACTATAACACAACTTACTCCAATAGAACTTACAAATTATAACAGATTTCTATTTTTGACTCACCTGTAACATGACCATGTTATCCCCTTCAAAAGTCACAAACACATCTGCATCTCTCTTCAGACTAGGAAGACGGTTTTCCTCCATATAACCCTGAAAATGTCAACAACATGCACTTTAAAGCTCTTACATGCAATCCCCTTAAAAATGCCTGGTCTTTTAATGACACTTCTACACTTTAAAAAATTGCATTTAATAATGCTGTTCAAAAGTAATTTTTATTTTGCCATCAAATGTGATGAAGATCAAGACATTTTTCAATTCATGGCGTATGTCAAATATCACAGAGAGCAACCAACTTATTTTAATTCTCATTAGATTTTCAAAATGCAAGTCTTCACATTCTCCCAAGTACAGAAAGCTTTCAGATACCACCAGAACCTACCATGCCACCTACACTCTCCCTGCAAGTCTGTAGTGTCTTCACACTCTCCCAGGTACAAAAAGCTTTCAGGCCTGCCGCCAACGCCTGGAGTCCTCTTTCATTGACCAAATCTCTCTGGTTGCACAGAGCATCATCCAGCAATGAACCAGCATGTCTAAATAAAGCAAAGGTGGAGTGACTCCCTATGTCAAATAAAATTACCAGACATTCACACATCAAGAGATTTCTAATAAGTGTCACACATGTGTACAACATAATACCAATGTACACCTTTTTAATTTCTTGTTCAGTGAGCTAACAGTGCATAAAAACTTATCTTGCTATAAGTTTCAGCTTTCACTGTGTGGCTACACAAACCTATCATCTCTGATCTAAATCAATTACCTCACTGCAAATGTCAGTCCCAGACACATGGCAAGACATGGCATCAGACGGAGCTGGTGAGTTTGATAATTCATTATTAATTCTTCGGGACCTTCACTGGGGCCAAACTGACGCCTTCTGCAATGTCACATAAGATACATAAGATTAATGGCACAGATAAGTTTGACAATTCATTATTAATTATTAGACTTTAGCTGGGGCCAAACTGGTAAGTTGGAGAAGTAACATAAGTGACATGTTTTTAGAGGAAAAACAACAACAACCACAACTTTTCTAGTGGCAGATTTACAATTAAATTCATACCATTTAATTAACACAACAGATACTGTATGAATATTATGGCTGTTAATATTATATCTGACATATTACCTTAAACTGTACTTTACTGCAATTTCCAAACCAACCTGTCAAACAGAGAGTAATTTGAATATAAAATTATTAAATATAGATGATCATAGTTAAGATTTAAAAACTAATGTTTGAAACCATTTTCAGTAGTATTCAGGTCAGAAGCTACAGAAGACATATTATGTTGCAGAGGCAAGGGGGGGGGGGGTACTGAGGTAAAACTTTTCACTGAAATTTTTTTGATCATATCTTTCATGCCAATTCCAACTTCATCTTACTCATCATTCAACACAAACTAGAATTACCATCTCATTACCATCATCTATAAAACTACCGATATGTCAATGTTTTAAACATGGTACATTAATATCATGTTATGGTCATCAATGAGATCATTCCATTTTGATATGAAAAGTAAATCCTGGTCCTTAAATTGTGTTCCTTATTTCCACCCACCTTGGTGGCTGCCAGTGCTTGAAAACACAGAGCTAACCTAGGTGCCAACATGGTGCCCAGCATAGCATTGAACCTGGCATTATCGTTGGTTATCTTGGTGACATACTCTCCCTCTAAACTCACATCTGCAAACCTGGACAGAAATATTGCCTCTACATCATAAAATAATTAACAGTTGAATCAAAATCACTTTACACAACATGCAGATCATGCAGAAATTAATTCAACATTAATTTTGATGTTTCTCAGATAACATTTTGAAAGTAAATTTGGTACAGACTACAGCTGCAATAGCTGGGGACATCTAAGTCCTAATGTCTATACCACATAACTGACCTGTTCAGTAAGTTTTCTCTGGGAATTCTGACATTGTCAAAGGCAACAAGCCCATTGTCCACACCATTTAAACCTCAAAATAAAAACAAAAAATCATATACATAAACCCAAACTTAAATAATGACACTATTAAAAGTAATATGGAAATCAATGGGCAATGATCAAGGTACTGCAATTAAAAAACACCTGTCTTCTGACACTGGTATCAATTTAATTTCAAACCATATATGAACTTAATTACTTCAACTTCCTACCTTCTTTTAGACCCATGTCTGTGATAGTGATTCCAGGTAGCAACTGCCCCTGTTCATCTCTCACTGGTACTATAAAACAGTGTGGACCTAGACACATACAAAACACGAACAGTAATAATTAGAGATATCCTGTTCATCTCTCACTGGTTCTATAAAACAGTGTGGACCTAGAATCAGATATGCGCAGAACATGAACAATAATGATAAGAGATATCTGAATGTATTTTCTTGCCTTCACAATAACCATATCATAGCAGAAAAAATAGGTTTTTATTATATATCATTTTAATAAAGAGTTAACAGGGCCTGAAGAAAGTTATATTTGTACCTGTTTTTACTAGTAATTACCTTTGCATTGTCCTTTCACATAGACTTGTGCAAATACTGCTGCATAATTTCCCTGCAAAGCATTTCCAATGTAGATTTTCTCTGCATCAAGGCATGGAGTATTGATGATAAATTGCTACAAAATAAAAATCCAAAACATCTGAGGTGAAAACAAGTGGTTTAGTTACAGCTCTTTACTGCATCTGACTTTGTTATCAATTTCTTTACTAGAATTACTCCACTGCTCAAAAACGATTGTCATCTCATATTGAATATCATTTCATAAGGTTACAGAATGTGATTTAAAAACATATAATGACCTTTCAAACAGTGAAAAATGCAAAGTAGATAACTATCTAATAACTATCTACCTTAGTATCTTGATCATAGTGAGCCTGTGTTAATATTCCTTTCACATTGCTACCGTGGCCTCTCTCTGACATGGCAAACATACCAGTGAACTTCAATTCCTAAGAAGTAAAATAATCATAATTCCAAAAACCAAGAAATTGAGAAAAATGAATTTTAGATTCATTAACCTTTTTGTCATATCTCCAAATCCAACTTACCAAACTCTCTATTTCTACAATGTATCACAAAAATACAGCACATATTATCACAAACAAAAGCAAACCCCATCAAACATCTAAGATATGTGCAGAGTTACTCAAAGATACTAATTTCATAAGATGCAATTCAAACAAACTAACCTTGAGAGGGACAAACCATCTTTTTATGTGTTCTTCCGAACCAAGGTTTGTGATAACTCCACCAAATAACCAAGCCATCACTCCACTCTGGAATATATCGAAAAACCAATTTCTGTTAAGGATGACATAAAGTTACCCACTTCTGGTCACAACTGATATTTACTAGTTTGAAATATTTGTTTTTAAATTTTTAATTAATACCTATTAGCATATGCTTGCCAGTAGTGTTATAGTGTTTTAATGATATAGTCATCTCTATAGAAAACAAACTCATTAATATTACATAGAGAATGATGATTTTGATAACATGCAAGCAACTCACCTTGATGCCAACAGACAAGTCTGTGGCTGAGCATAGTTCTCCCAATGCTAAACTTCTATTTGTAAAATTCTGTTTTGAAGATGCCTGAAAAATTTGACTTTGGCATATATTTGTCTCATGCAGGTTTTTTTTTATGAAATAGAATATTTCATCAATTAGAAAAAGATGTTACGAAAATATGTTAAAAAGCCATTATATTACATTATATTATCAAATTTTTTGTACTGGTACATGTCATACTTTGAAAGAAATGTTGATGTCCTGCATTCAAACCCACTCTTACATTCATGTTTGCAACAGAACCCTTACTAACCTGTTCATCAAATTGTTCTTGTATTTCAGGAAGACGGAATAAATATAGTGCCCTTTCCCTGGTCACATCTCTGTAATCTGACAGGGGCAGGTCAAACCTACAAAGAATACAGACAAATGCTATGGGATTTTTAGAGATTTAGGTATAAATGCTCTTAACAAAGTTCTGGCCTAGATTATATGAACACTCTGTAGGACTGGCTTATATTTAGATGACCATTCTAATCATTTCCCATTGTGTAAATGTAATTTAGTTTGCTGTTGAATAAGTTCATTTTTATCTGTTCTTTACAACTGTAACCCTCATTCTGGAAAATCTGTGCTGAAATTAAAACTTGACTCCATCTTACTCTTATCTTTACACTTTACTTTTCAAACTTCAGTTATTTTTACAAAAATTACATCACACAAAAATGAATGACAACACAATTCGGTTAAAAAACAAAAAGATTCACATCGTAACCATTCATTTGTTGAAACAAATCATCAAAGTTTCAACAATATAATAAAAAGGTACCAATACTACCACTATCTCCAGGATCCAAAAATAATTATTTAGGATCCAAGGTTAACCACAGCACTGCGGCTACTGGCACAAGATTTCGATCAAATTTGTGGGGCATACGTTCAAAGTATCATTTAACGATTTGATTCATACGGAGGAACTAACCGTAAATTGAAAAGTTCATTTCCTTCAATATATTCACGTAATTTTTCTTTCACCTCCCAGAAATCACCGTCCAAAAAGCGAGAAAGGCTGGTGGGCGGCTTTCTACTGGGGGCGGCCATATTGGAGAATGAATACCTTCGGCAAACTTTTTTCATTCTTTGTGCATGTGGATTGATGCAAATAGATTTGGATTAATGTTTCTATTTTATAGAAAGATTTTGAAACTAATAATTCTTTATATATTCCATTTCTAGCATAACGGATTTTACTACGGAAACTGCCGAAAATAGTTTTTACATCTGAGCATGCGCAAAGCGGTTTAGTTTAAACTCGAGAAGTTTTGGTGATGATATTTATTTCTGATCACTGGCGGGGAAAGTGAATTTTTCATTCCCTTTGAACTTATTTGTAAAATATTGAAAATGATGAACAATTCTTTAGACGGCGGGGTTCCAAATGAATGGGAACTCAGTAAAGAAAACGTCCAGCCACTGAAGCAGGGCCGTAAATTCTCCAGTTTAAATGCTGCTCTACAGCCGCACAGTGGAGATCAGCAAGCTAAGTTAAAGGAACAAAAGCAGTGAGTATCATGTAACACGTTGATGTGGAAAAAGGTTGGTTTGTCTTTCGTACAAAATTATTCACTTGAGCTCCTTAAAATGGGGAGTGCGCTGAATATAATATTGGGAATCCATAAACTCAATTCCACAACAAACTTCTATTCTCTTTGAAAACTTTCTTTAAAAATAATTAGCTATTGTAAAAGACTAAAATAGTTTTAAAATGTCTCTGAAAATTTCAGAATGTTTGAATCAGAGTTAAGGACGTACAGTGGTGATGACCCTTTGGATGTCTGGTTTCGGTAAGTCTGTGAAAATACTAGTAAGAGAATGATAAGCTGAATTAATAATCATATGAATATATCTGTTATGGAGAGAACTTGATGGCTCTCCCAAGCAGGTTATTCAAAGTCCGAAGTGGGTATGAATGTTAATTAATATCCATATTACATACAAAAATATAAAGATAAGAACAGAAGTTTAAAATAGAGATAAAAACAAGAAAGATTTCAATATAATTCTAGAAATTATGAATTGATCTTTAATTTAATTTTTTTTTTGTTCAGATATGTTAAGTGGACTGAACAAAACTTCCCAAAAGGTGGTAAAGATGGAAACTTGCAGGCCATTCTGCAGCGCTGTGTGACCATATATAAAGATGACCCCAGATACACCAATGACCACAGATACATTGAATGCTGGGTGAAGTTTGTAAGTTGATTTTAAATTGTGGAACCAAAAGTATGTATACAATGATTATAGATGAAAAGCCCCAGCGGCAACAGATTTTAACTCAAAATATATGACAGTCTACTAAAATTATAAGTTTTCACAAAGTATCTGAAAATTAAAATAGCTGCTGCTCACCTTTTAATACTCATCATAATTTCACACACTCAAGAGTTTTAAAATATTGAGAAAAGAGAATTACAATTGAAAATTTGGTTTTATATTTTCCAGGCGAGTCTGTGCAACGAACCCCTAGAAATCTACAACTTTCTGTACAACCAGGGCATTGGCTGCCAGCTGGCGGTGTTCTATATGGCCTGGGCAGCTGAGTATGAACAGGCAGGAAACACCAAGAAAGCAGATGCTGTTTATAAAGATGGTATTCAAAGAGGTGCACAACCAACTGAGAGATTGTTGCAACAACACAGGTTTGTAGTCTAGCTTAAATATATATAGAACTCTATACTCTGTCCTAGAACACCAATATCTCTGACAAAATAATGATAAGATTTAAAAGAAAACACGTGAGAGGTTTCTTTATGTATATCATATTTTTTTTTGCTTTATAAGCAGAAAGAAAATGGCTTAAATTATTAACACGCTTTACCGTGAACAAAGTGTAGCTTTCATGTGAATAAAAAAACTAGATGGTTGTTCATATATGATTATGATATCAAACACAAGCCATAATACTTTCATATTGTTAGCTTACAGCTGACCTGGATGTAGGCCTTCATCAGACTGATGTGAGTAGATATTGTTACTCACAGACCCCCATATATAATATAGATAATTATTATATATGATCTAACTACCAAGCTAATGAACACCTTTGCTATGTTGTAGTGAGTTCCAGGCCCGTGTAGCCAGGAGATCAGCTGGTGATATGATGGAGACAGGAGACCAGGAGGAGACAGCAGAGGAACAGAGGGTCACTTTGGGGGCATTGAGACCAGTGGGGAAGAGGGGTGCTGTGGGGAGTACGAGAACAGGAGGAGCCAAGGGAGGTACGTATCCTTGTGTTCTTGTGTCACACTGAGGGGTGTGTGCTGTAAATGTAACCATGTACCTAAAAAGGTGACCATTGATTGTTGAAGATGTAACCCTCTAGGGTTATATAGGAAGACTTCTTCCTGGTCTCTGTTGTAAGAATGTTTACACTCCCCCCTTGTACAAGCTTCTGAAAATGGTGCTGTTTTTCCCAACTATTCACTCCCAGTACGTGTGTCTTCAGGTTCCCAGGGAGGCCTAAGGCTGCAGATGCCCTCAGTACAGTCTCAGATAGGGCCGTCCTTCCAAGTGTATAACGACGAGAATGCCAGTGCTGGTGCCAGCCTACCTCCACAGACAGGAGAGTACGTCTCTGCGCCCACCAAACCAGAGGTGTACAGGAAAGAAAATGAACAGAAGGCTGGGGTCTGGACATCTGCCAAAGTGAGTTGCATCATATTTACTGTAATTGGCTTTATTATAAGTATTCTTGTAAACGAATGCTCTTGTAATGGTTTTAGAAAAGTGTACTTTGTATTTCCATCTTTTGTGCAAAGACAGAGGTTGACAAGATTGGTTTAAAACCCTCAAAACAAACCTTTGAAAACACCTCTCAGAAACAAAATAGTTTGCACAGTTAAGTTTCCTCTTTGTTCTGCAAAACAGAAATTTCCCAGAAATCTAAAGTAATAATTAAAAAAACTGAAGAAATCAAAGATTCTCAAGTATTTCCCTAAAATAGCATCTGGTACTTAAAGTCATAATAACTCTTCGTTTCGGCCAAAAAATGAATTTTCCTGGAGTAAACAACAATTTTCCCACACTTACCAATGGTTAATGAATCCATTTTTACATTCGAAGTTAGTCCCTGGTTTTTTTCTAAAAAGTTTGTTTTTTTGTTAAAATCTCTTAAGAGATTTTAACAGAGTATAGACATCAATGGAGGTCACGTGGTCTAAAGACAAGCTCAGATATCAGAATAATAGCTAAAACTGCCGTTTTTGTGGTAAAACAGAATATATTATATTTCTATGAATTATTCACAATGTTTTTATTGTGAAATATAGATTTCATACGAAGAGTTATTATCCCTTTAAAGGTTTGCTTTGTTATGTCCCAGGTGAAGCAGCGGTCAGTGCCAGTGGTACCGGTCAGTGAAGTAGCCCAACACAGCAGACCTGCCTTCTCTGTACACGTGGACGAAAACGCTGACCAACCCATGACGTGAGTGACTGCCCTGCAGGGATTGATGTGTATAACTAAGTGGAGTCTCTCCCTGTTGAACAGTGCAAGAGATTTCTTTGATGTCATCAAGTCTTGATAGTTTTTTTTTAATCAATAGATGGTACTAACCAAACTTAAGCAGCATGACTTAGAGGAAATTGATTTTCATTACTTAACACGTTATCTGTTTGATTTTCATTTGAAAGGACACCAAGGAAGATGCCAGAAGTAGGAAATCAAGTTTTAAGGTAAATGCTCTTGTCAAAACAGTGCCCATAACCTTGTTATCAACATGTAGTATACTGCAGTGAAATAATATCATTTAGTAACTTACAATAAATTTCTAACATAGTTTTTATGACCATGAAAGCCATATAATTGTTAGCTAAGTAGCTGTCATAAAAAATTAGTAGAAATGTGCGTGATGTTTTTCTCCCGTCATTCTGTGATCTGTGTTCTCAGTGCGCGGAAGCCGTCCAAGCCAGCAGACCCCCTGCAGAGTATCAGCCAGTTCCACCAAGAAGATCCCAACATGAGACCCATGTACTGCAAGGAGAAGATCTACGTCAGCACGGAGGAGTTCTCCTTTGAGGAACTGAGGGCTGCACGCTGGAAAGCCAAGATGAGGAGACGAAAAGAGAAAGAGATGGAAGGTGTGTAGATATCTTTTTTTTTATTTAATAGGCAAAAAGTGATTTATCAGATCTAGTATTTAAAATCAAATGTAGTATTTTTAATTTTATAAAACGTTTGGGCAGGAGCTTTTTATGTGAAGTCATTGAATGCCAAGATTTTCAGTCCATTTCTGATGGGACCCTAGGTGACCTCTGAATACCCCAGGCTGGTGTCTGAATACATGATAATTGGTCTGGGGGAAATATGTAATACTGGTGGCAAAAGCATCTGTTACAAGATAAAAATTCATTTCTGAATATAGTAGTGACAACTGTGTGCAATGTCAGTCACAGAACATGGGAAGTCTTTTAAAGAAACAGATAGAATCTGAATGACGTTTCCCTTTAAAAGAATTATTCCTTTCATCCAGAGAGACGAAAAATGCTGGAGAGACAGGAAGAGGAATTATTACGACAGAGGGAGGAGAGGCTACGCCTGGAACAGCAGCTGTTTGAGCAGCAAAGACGGGAGATGGAGGAGAGACAGAAGCAGATCATACAGCAGCAACAGGAGCAGTTTGAGAAAGAAAGGTATGGATTTAACCTGAATATTTTTTTTACTTTTCAAGTGTATGAATTGGGTGTTGATCTTGGAAAGTGTTTTGCATGAAGTATGATTGTAGAAGTATTATTCAGTACTCTCAGTATATTATTTACCGTGACTCCTGTCAGTTTCTGTGTGCAGCTTGCAACAGTCTATCCATTCCCTTACATTTGTAATACTGCCTAGTTTTGATCACATGACTGATGATCACATGACTGATGATCCGTGCTGTTGTAGGTTACGCCAGCAGCAGCTGATGGAACAAGAGCTCCAGAAAAAATTTCAAGAGCAGCTGCAATTTAATCGCCAGGCTCCAACACAAGCAGCCTCAGGCGCTGGTCCAATCACAGGCCACAAGACAAACAGTTTTAGGTATGTCCAGTGTTTCCTGTCCAACATTAAAAGATTTCTCATCCTGTGAAACAGAGAATATTCATGTGTACATTTATGAATTCCTGTCAAAATAAGATGAATGATAAAGAGTGTCAGCATGTAGTCTGAATTAGTGTGTATGTGTATTCCTTCAGAGATACCAGTTTGTCAAGACAACTTCCCTTCAATGAAATGAACCCTGGTGGAAACGTGTTGGCCAAAGAGCAGCCAGTCAACAGCAGTCTGAACAGTACCCGCACCCCAAACTTTAACACCTCGTCTAACACCAGCGTGTCATCCACGTCCACTGCCAAACAGAGGTCTGTGGGACCCTCTCCAGACAGCGGCGCCTTTAACCCCTTCAGGGGATCTGCCAGGAACACACCTCTTAAAGGGGTGAGTTGAATGTGTTGTTCTCATTAAGGGATATTTCAGTAAAACCATTGCTGCACAGATTAACATTTGGAAAGTGAAGATCTAGAAGAGATTTGACCAGATCATTAACATGATATCAGGTTTATTAGGAAAGCATGTAAAACATTTAGTGTTGACTCATCTGCCTCTGAAGTTAAACAGTTAAGACTTAAATTTTTAATGGCTCACATAGTGCTCACTCCTGTATTGTTGCTGATGTTGGATTCTTTGATATGACAAGTATTGTATGCCCCAATGTAATGTGTGCGTCTATTAACACCAGGGAGGTCATGTAGGTTAAATATAGTCCAGTATTTATATGTATGTGTATATTCCAGTCACTGACTGCCCCCAGTCCCACTGTGAACACCAGGGAAGCCATGCAGGTTATATAGTCTAGTATTTATATGTATGTGTATATTCCAGTCACTGACTGCACCCAGTCCCACTGTTAACACCAGGGAAGCCATGCAGGTTGTCATGGGGATGTTCAACAACACACTGGACATTGAGAAGAACCTTGGCTGGAGCGCTGCCCCCAAGGAGGATGAGGAGGATGACTTCAACATGGACGATGACGAGTTTGGAGCACAGTTTGCTGCTACCAGCACCAGTAGGTGTTATAAGTTTGCAGCACCAGTAGGTGTTACAAGTTTACAGCACCAGTAGGTGTTATAAGTTTACTCCAAAGAAATTGCAAATGACTTGTTGCATTGTCAGTTGGTTTTTAGAAGGCATGAATGGGGCCATAGTGATAGACCGATACTCTAAAGATTGGTTTGTTGTGAGAATCACTGACCAGTGGATATATTTAGAATATTGTGATTAGTGTCCACTCCTGATTTGAATATAACTTTAAATCATGAAGGAACTGACCCAGTTTGTGTTCTTACAGAGAAGGTGTCGGCCTTTGTTCCTGTTGATGCACCATTCACCATATTTGACGACCAGGCACAGGACACAGAGAACAAATGTGACCAGCCAGCTCAGACGCCTGAAGATGACACCAAAGAAAATAAGTAAGTCATAGTCCTGGGATTGCTAAAAAATACTGTTACCTCTGCCAAAAAGATTGTTTGTTTATTAGTTAACAGACTCACCCAGAAAGCTGTGGAGGCCATTTTAAAATTTTTCAGGGTGGGTCAGAAATTGATCCACTTGAAGTCTGTTACACTGTCTTTGGTGGTGATACATTAATTTATAAACCATTAAATGAATAATTAATGCCTGAGCACCCTTTTTGACGGTTATATTTGTTATTATTTCTATTGTAGACCTCCATTTGGTCACCAGACAGTTCCCAAGAGACAAGGTCTGTCAGGTGTGTTACAGCCAGCTACTGATGTGCCTTGTATTCCACTTGAAGAACAGAAGCGAATGATGGGTGAGGAAGAGGAGGAGGAACAGGTAGAAACACCGGTCAAATAATTTCTTAAAGGCAAACAGTAAAGGAAGTTTTAACTGAAGAAGAAAGTTGTGGCATATTTGATTGTAATTGGCTGCCTTTCATCTATAATCTGTTTTCAGTGTTTGATTTATAAAAATAAAAAATTAAGATAGATATAACATCTTTCATTCCATTTTAAATGGTATAGTGATTCAGTTATCATCAAAATAATTTTTTTCCCCTAAAGGAGCAAGAGCAGATGGAAGGGACTCAACGCAATGACATCCACCATTACGACATGACCTTTGCCCCTCAAGGAGGTCCTTCCAATTTTGCTGCCGCAGCCAGGTTGGCATCCACCCCCTTCAACCCCCTGGGGGACCACCCGTCCTTCAATGCCCCTCCCCTCAGTACCATCAGACCCAGCGCCCTGGACAGTGACAGGACTGATATCTCTGAGACCACTAACACTTCTAAACACTTCTCTGTGTTTGAGGATGAGAATAAACCTGACAAAAATTACTGTAGTTCAGCGTCAAGAGCACAAGTGGCAGAGGGAGCGAAATCCCCAGAGGGAATATTTCAAATGCCCTCGGAGATGCAGAACTCAAAAACTGGACTAAGGTATGTCTGCTCTGAGCTACAAACATGTTCGAATGGAATTTTTTTTTCTATAAGAGATGCAACGGTTTTACATTTGTTACAAATTAAAAAAAAAAAATTATGAGGCTGTGATGTGAGAACTTCATTAAGATTCAAGGACACTGATATGAAGTAGAATTTCAGTTTAACAGATTTATTGGTAATCATTGTGCACAAGTCACTAATAATGTCTCACCGTCTTCAGCCCTATAATGGAGCAAAGTGACGAGGAAGTGAAGTCATCGCGGTCCCACTCTCAGGGGAGCAGCGTGGCCTCATCCCAGCACTCCATGCATGAACTGCTCAACCTACAGAACCATGCCCGCCAGCCACCCCCCAGGGACCACCCCAGGGACCACGCCCGGCACCAGATTGACATGTCCACCTACATCGCTCCAGAAGACCTGGATGAGAAAACGGTGAACATCCTGTCAATGTCCATCGCCATCGATCCCTACGATCCCTTTGATGAGGAGTTGGTGGCCAGGTTTTTAAGGCGTCTCCCAACTCCCGTCTCTTCCTTTCACAATTATCACGCTATCCAGGAAGAGATGCCTGAGATTACTGCAGGAACAGCTGTCAGCTTGGGTGAGATGCTCTGAATAAATAGGAAAATTCTCCTTAATTAAGTGTTGTCATATCAGTATAAAATTATTTGGGAAACAGGGACTGGTTTTAGATGTACAGTATAATTTAAAGGAAAGTGCTTGAGTGTTTTTATCTCAAAAGTTATGTTAGATATATATTGCTGGAATAAAATGTGCTTATATCTCATTCAATGAAATCACTGTTGTGTTTTCAATGAATGGGGTGTTAGGATTCATGTTGTATTTTGATGTCTTCAAGGCTCCATGTTTTCTGTCTTCCAGATGATGATCTGTACAGTGTAGATGCTCTGCTGGGGGAGGGAGGGTTTGCCAAAGTGTACAGGGTCTCCTTGCTGGACTCCACAGACATTGGGGATCTGGATGGCGGGGATCAGAAATATGTCATGAAGGTAAAGATGATTTGTGCCGATTTATATTTAATTACCTTGAAACTTGAGAGTGACTGATGTATCTTCTTTAAAAGCAATTGTAGATTAGTCATGTTTGTTTGAGAATTGATCCATTTTTCTTCAGAGACCTTTGTATTTCTCCTCCAGGTTCAAAAGCCGCCATGTCCGTGGGAGTTTTATATCTGTACAGAGCTTCACAAGAGACTGTCTACTGTGCCAGGACCTGATGTGGTATGACTGTTAACCTTTTACTCAGGGATGACATTTTTCTAGACTGTGTTTAATGGGGGCATCTCGATTATACAAAAGTTCTTTGGTACAGAAAATTGCTTGCATGTGCCTCTGATGAATTTAATTACCAGTACATTAAACGCTTTATTCATGCATTAATTCTGACTAACGAACCTTCAGACCATTGAATCATGGGACTATTGCTACAGCCACATATTAATGTAAGTTTTAACATATGATGGAGATTGCAAAATTTATACTCACTGGTACCCTGAATTTTTGACATGTGACTGTAATTTTAAAATAATGTTATATTGTTTTTAATTCACCATTATTTATGAGAAGCGTCATTGATATATGTGCTATTTCCTTCTCAGAGGCCATCTGTGATGTCGATAGAGGATGGCTACTTCTTCCAAGATGGCAGCATTCTGGTCAACAAGATGTACACAAATGGCACTCTGTTGGTGAGTATACCTCGAAGATGGAATCCAGCTTTAGAAAACAGCACTACTGACTAATGGCCTAAAAATCTTGGTTGACTAACGGAAGCTTTGTGAAACAGGGCCCATTTTTATTGAACTCAGCTTTGTCTAATTATTGTGCTGATTCCTTCCAATTTTCTTCCCCTCTGTTTTTGCATCTTATTAACTTTTAAAAGGGTTTGCATTGCTAGTCCATGTTTTATTCTTTATATCTTTCATCTCTGAAACATCTTCTCTCACCAGTTAGTTTATAATGATATTATGTTGTTGTTGTAGACGTTGGCTAACACATACAAGATGAAGCACATGTCTATGTGTGAGTCCCTGGCTATGTATCTCACCATTCAACTACTGAGGATTGTAGTTTATAATGATATCATATTGTTGTTGTAGACATTGGCTAACACATACAAGATGAAGCACATGTCTATGTGTGAGTCCCTGGCCATGTATCTCACCATTCAATTACTGAGGATTGTAGAACAGATCCACCAGAGCCAGATCATCCATGGAGACATCAAGCCAGACAACTTCCTATTACTGGATCTGTAAGTTGTCAAACTGTGCAGTCATTGGATGTAAAAAGCTTATTTATTCTTTATATTCTGTGTATTCTTCTGTAAACTGTTGCACAGCAATCAACTGTGTTCACTTTACAGTGATGATTTTTTTCTATAGGCAGAGGCTAACACATATAATGTAAAGCACATGGCAATGTTTTACACTATTTAATTTAAATGTTCAGTATTATTTTATTTCTACTACCATTCCAGTCCACACTTACCAGACAGCAGAGACCCTGAGGTGATATTTGGAGCCACACCCAGTATGAAACTGATTGACTTTGGCCGCAGCATAGACATGACCATGTTCCCTGCAGGGACAACTTTCCTGGCCAAAGTGAACACCTCAGGATTTCAGTGTATTGAAATGAAGACAGATATGCCATGGACATATCAGGTAACTTACCTCCCCCTCCTCCTCTCCCCTAATAAAAGTGAACACCTCTGGATTTCAGTGTATTTAAATGAAGACAGATATGCCCTGGACTTATCTGGTAACTCTCATCTTTCTTACCCCCACCCTCTCTCTCTAATAAAAGTGCACAACTCAGTAAGCACAAAAAATGTGTTCCAGCATTTATGTTTGTGTGCGTGTTTAGTATTAAATGCATTCAATGTCATAAACAGGTTTGTGTGTTACTTTCCAGACTGACCTCTTTGGCATTGTTGGGACCATACATGTATTAATATTTGGTGGATACATGAATGTTTTTCAAACTAATGGGAGATGGAAGACCACAAATACAGTGAAAAGGTAAAAGAACTTAGGAATACAGTTTTTCACACCTGTGCTAAAGATGTCAAAATTTTATGAAGATATTGGCTGTGGTTGCAGTTTAAGATACTGTGAATTCTGGCATGCTCTCTCAGAACAATACAAAACGAGGGAATGGGACGGCAATTTGGTTTCTAGAAAAGACATTACCTCCCAAATGCTAATGGTTCTTTTATTTGCAGGTGGTGGAAGCAAGACCTGTGGAAGCGTTTCTTTGACAGACTTTTGAACGTCCCCAGCTGTGATGAGTTGCCTAACTTGGGTGACATCCGCAGAGAATTTGAACAATGCTTCATGACAATAATTGAAGGAAAGCGTGTCGAGTTCAATGATGAGGTCAAACGGATATCAGTGTCCCACTTTGAGCTGAATACGCACAGATGAAAACAACCCCTCCTCTACCCTTGTGGGACATCACGGGTTTCCAGCAGGCCCATTAAGTCACCTATGTATTCTGAAACCTCAGTCTGGTTACTTTGTCAAAATATGCCAGTTTTGAGAACTTTCATTCATGGCTCTTGACAAATATTTAAGTTTCTGGGAAGTGTTGACATTAGTCTGGTAGGACCTTCATTTATATGCAAGATTAATTAATATAAATCATGTCATTCATCATGTATATATGCATCAGATTTCTTGGCACTTCATATGTGCAGCTGTGACTTGGGTGAATGTGTTCATGGTTAGGACTTAAATAGAATGGTTCACTTGATATAGATTCATTGTTGTAGATATTTGTAGCAAGTT